GTCTGCTCTCTCTGTCTCCCTCGAGTTTAAATCTCCCTCCGCAGCGCCTCTGCCTTTGGTCTCTGCTCCACCACGTGCTCCTCTTCCCCCACTCCTCACTCCTCTACCACTGCCTCTCTCTCTCTCTAATCCCTTCCCCCACGTGCTCACCCCGCTCCTGCTGCTGCCAAACCTCAATTGTATTACTGAAGTCTAGCATAAAACCCCATTGGTTACCCTTTTTCTCTCTAACACACCTCACATTTTACATTTACACCACTGACACATATTTTTACCTAGAGTTGCTGGTTATTTAACACATTTTACCCATAACTCTTAGTTGGTTATATGCTGCTGTGACACACCCTTTACATAGGAACTGTTAGCTACCTGTTACATTTATACTTCAGTGTTAATTGGTTACCAACTGTATTGGACCCCACTGTATTGTACCCCACTATTGAAACCCCCTATCCTATTTACTAAAAGAAACCCCTCCCCAATTGTCTACCTTAACAAACCCCGTACCCCTCACTATTGAATTTTCCCTGTTTCTGCGTTTTCTTAATAAAGTTTATTTTGCACCCCACCAGTGCAGTAGTTGTCCCCCAAAATCCCCTACCTGCTGGCAGGGTCAATATGAATAATACCAGAGAGGCTGAAGAATAACTTGTAACATTAGGATGCAGGCAAACACTGCTTATCACAACTATAAGAACTACCACAAGAAAGATCAGCTGCAAGCTGATGACTCCTTAGAAATGCTTTTGTATATCAAAAAGAGCAATCAGAGATTATTATTTGTATTACTATAGGAGGCCTAGTCATGGAGGAGGAATACATTGGGTTGGGCACTGTACAAAATACAGAACAAAAAGATGGTTCCTGCCCTTAAGAGCTTACAATCTAAGTATAAAACAGGTGCATACAAACAGACAGATGGTAGTATACAAGGAAATAGTGACCACATTGGGCAGCAGGATAGGCTGTTGTTTCAGCATTCCAGTAGCCTAACGCTGTTAAGTTTTTCATGAGCGTGATGGAAAAGGAGAGTTTTAAGGAAGGATTTGAAGGAAGATAAGGAGATAGTTTTACAGATCTTCCTGGGTAGTTCCCCCCAAGAGTGAAGGGTAGCATGGGGAAAGCTCAAAGGTGCTCACTTGAAAATTTAACAAGTGGATGAGGGAGGCTGGCATCATGTGACTATGGGAGGCAGGAGTCAACGTCTCAATAGCGAATGAGAGATGACAGGTTGGGTGGGGACAGGTTGTCAATGGGCTTGAAAACAAAAGATAAGTAATTTATATTTGATGTGATAGAGAAGAGGTAGCCAGTGGAGGGAAGCAAAGAGAAAAGTGATATGGTCAAAGTGATATGCTAGGAAAATGATCTTTGCAGTAGCATTCTAAATGGATAGGAGTAGGGTAATGACTAATGCTTTGTCTACACTATGCACCTTTTAGCCATACAACTGTGCCGCTACAGCCATGCTGCTAAAAGGCACGCAGTGTAGCTGCTGTTTGTTGGGAGGAGAGAGCTCTCCTGATGACAAAAAAACTTCCACCCCCAACGAGTGGCAGCAGCTTTGTCGGCAGGAGAATAGAAGATTAAGAGCTCTGTTTTAATCATATTTAACTTGAGCTGGTGGCTAGACATCTATGAGGAGATGACTTTCATTGGGACAGAAAGAGACAGATCTCGAGACAAGAGTTCTGTAAGTCATCAGCATAGAGATAAGTAGTTGAATTTGTGTTTGTGGATTAAATTACTCACAGATGAATGCTAGCATTTCTCCACAGTATTCTTGGTGGCATTCAATCTTCAATACTGACAACCTGGTTAACTCCCAAGTCTAATGAGTTTAGGACAGAGACGGGCATGAAAAGAGAAGTCAAAAAAAAATCAAGCAAATCAACTACTTGAGTACAAACCTGAACAAAAAATTCAAACACTGACAATTAACCCTACAACAAATTAATCATAGCAAACGAGAAATAGGCATCGGTTTAATTAAGTGTGGCAGGCTGCTCAGTGCAGTTGAACAATTTCAGCCTTGGTTTCCCCGCTCTATATATGGTGGTGGCATCAACATCTATAAACTCAGGTTGTCCAACATTTCCCATTATAAAACCCTGTTTTCATTTGCTTACAGCTTGGCCAAACTTCAACCATTTGGGCTGAAATTTTCCATGATGGGTGTTTGTCTTATGCTGAACTTTTAAGTTTTAGCATAAAAAACAGGTCTGCTGGTTCAGAGAAAAAGGTTAGCAAAAACAACAAAAACAAAGCCATTTATACAATGATAACATCATACAACTGTTCTATTGAGAAACTCTAGGGCCTCCATGCTCTGGAGCAGGGGCTTGAAGTTTGGTAAAGGGATCATCCTGGAGCCAAAGAGGTGCCTTTGGCCATCCCTGTAAAAATCTACCCAAATTCGGCAGATTTATAAGCCTCTGTGGGGAAAAAATCACCATTTGTACATGTGCTATAGAGACTTCTTAGAGGATGGTGGCTTAATTCTCAGAGAATTTTATTCACACTGAGCATGTCCAGTTCAGACACAGCTCCTACATGCCAAACTCACTTCAAGCTGCAGCCTACAGCATCAGGGGCTTAGCAGGGTTTGAACTGAAATTGCTTCTCCTGGCTGCCAGACACTGCTGTGGCACTGAGTAGCAGAAGAGAGAACAAGGAAACCGGTATAAAGCTGCAGAACTGCCTTGAAAAGCTATGTCAATTGAAATCTCTCAGGAGGGCAATCTTATCAATCTACACCACAAAGTAGATCACACACATCTCAGTTCCTTCTCCCAAAGCACAGAGTTCTGATGTTATAGAGAATTCAGAATTAGGCCTGAAGGTGGACTGATAGTATGAATTCACAGAAATATCTCCTGAAAAACAATTACCAAGAAATAACCTCTTTCTGCTTTGAGAGCCTCTGTGCATTTCCACTTGTAGGAGCTCCTTGCCAGAGGATGTTGTGAAGGCCAAGACTATACACCAGGGTTCAAAAAAGAACTAGATAAATTCATGGAAGATAGTTCCATCAATGGCCATTAGCCAGGATGGGCAGTGATAGTGTCCCTAGCCTCTGTTTGCCAGAAGCTGGGAATAGGAGACAAGGAATGGATCACTTGATGATTACATGTTCTGTTCATTCCCTCCAGGCACTTGGCATTGACCACTGTCAGAAGACAGGATACTGGACTAGATGGACCTTTGGTCTGAGCCAGTATGGCCATTCTTATGTTTAAACCTAAGTATCATGCTGACAGCAAAAGCAGTAGACCTTCTCACATTATCTGGAAGTAAAAGTTAAAGGGGGGTAAAAAGGTGTATTTCTTCACATAACTCCTCCCAACTTCCCCCAATGCACAAAAAACACTGTTGTCATCTTCCTCTTCTTATCCAGCCCTGGCCTCAGGGTCTTCCACTAGGCTGCTGCTGGTGTCCTGTATTACATACAGGGTGAGTTCCTGAGGAAGCCAGTGTCTATTTATTCAGATGAATAGAAAGCCTTTCCACCTTCCCTGTGAAGACATATGTGTACCTGTTGGAGACTGTGGCGCTGCTGTGCTAAAAAGG